ACCGGGCCGGTCCTGCCCCATCGGACTCTCCCGGCACCGGGCCGGTCCTGCCCCATCGGAGCCTCCCGGCACCGGGCCGGTCCTGCCCCATCGGAGCCTCCCGGCACCGGGCCGGTCCAGCCCCATCGCAGCCTCCCGGTACCGGGCCGGTCCTGCCCCATCGGACTCTCCCCGCACCGCCCGCTCCGCACTCGGGGCTCCGGGAACTCTCCCCACAAGCGGGTGCACACGCAGCAGCAGGGGTTCGGCATGCCAACACTCGCCTCTAGCTACATCTTTATATGCGTCCCCACAAAACGAGACCGTTTTTGTCTAGACCCGATGTGACAGCTGCCATCACCCTCAGACAGGGTTCGGAGAGCTGTAGGTCTGCTCAGAGCTCAGCCTCTCCTGGAGCAACCTAAACCCTGCAGCTGCACCCTCATCTCCTCAGAGCACCCAGTCCCAACTACAGAATGATGCTCTCTGGGTTGATCCTGAAGTCCATGCAAATGCTTGAAAGAAGCACGGTTCTAAGACACAGAATCATAAATATGACCATGTATGATCCATATATAAAAGCTCATGTATCATATGAGAGATGATCACCCCTACCTTCAGCATTATCCTAGAATTCAAATCTCACCCCCACCCTCTCTTTTGAAATTATCAGGGACAGAGCATTTACTTCTCATCTTCCAGAACCAGGTAACTGAGTCTTGGGAAATAACCTAAAATACTATTTGCTATTTCTTTAATTTTCCTCTAGGAAAAAAAAAAAAAAAAAAAAAAAAACCCTTACTGGGGACAGGGAATTGTTACTTACTTTCCAATACAAGCAGTTGATAAATTGTAAAAAATGCTACTGAGTACAAACGGATCGCCTTAAATTTATTTGCGTGACCTTGTTCGCAGTGTCCTACAAAGTAGCAGCAGTTGACTTGTGTAATCTTTTTCCATTTTCAGCATCAAACTTCACCCACTACTGAAATGGACCCTTCCGCAGTGCTGATACAGAAATAAACTCAATTATGAAGGCTAAATTAAGACAAATTCTTAACAGTTCAGGCCAGATGAGATACTCTGGCTACACCTCAATAGATTCCATGATTCTGCTTCTCCCTGGGCAGTTCTCTTAGGGGTTCAGGCTGTATCTGCAGGACCACTGCCTGGGAGACTGGACCCTTGTCAGACTTCAGCCCCATTCATACCTTTCTTCCCAAGGGACACCACTGCTTGTCCAGCACACCTGACTCCTCAGCCAGTATCTTCCTGCAGACCAGTCCTCACCAACGCCTGCAAGAGCCACCCTCTGCAAAGCATCCATGGACAGCATGCAAAAGTTGCATACAAATAGAGGCAAATGGAAACGAGAGATACAAACAAAACACGGACAATTTACAAGCTGTACGAAAACAAGCTTAGCCCTTCGCTCTTTCCTCAAACACAGTTCGAAATGGAGCACTGCTTGCAAGCAAACTACCTACCCGGAGCTCACACGTCTTTAAACGCTAGAGGCATAATAAGCAACCATTTAATAACTGCCCGTGACTCAGAGCACTGAATAAGCGATGCATTTTAAACAAGTGTCAGGACAACTTTTCAGCGCCGCTGCAGCCCGCGCCCCCCTCCCCCCGCTCCCTCCCCGCCAGTCCCGCTCGCTCCCGGTGCGGCTTTTGTTAAGTTGCTGACGGCGAGGACTGGCTAAATAGCGGGCACGGCCGGCCCGACCAGCCCGGCCCAGGCACCCCAAGTTACCGCGCTCAAGTTGGCACAAGGGCGGCGGATCCCCCGGCCCGGCGGGGGCGCCCGGGAAGGGCGGCGGGGCGGCCGCTGCCTCCCTTTGTCTCCCGCAGGTGAGCGGGCGCCGCTCGCACACGGCAGCGCGGCCGGCCCGGCCCCGCCGCCCGGCAGCGCGGCCCGCGGCGGCGCCCAGGTGCGGAGCTGCCTCCCGGCGCCGCCAGCTCGGCGCTCCCGGCGCCGCCCGCGGAGCGGAGCCGCCGCCGCCGGGGGCAGCGCGGGGCGGCGCCGCCCGGAGCGCCGGCGGGCGCGGGGGGCGCTCCGCGCGGCGCCCCGGGACGGGCGGGCGGCGCCGGGGCTCGGCCCCGCGAGCCGGCCCGGGCGCGGACGTGTCCCCGCGGGGCCAGCCTGCCCTGCCCGGCCGTCCCGGCGGCGGCCGCGCCGCGCTCGTCCCCGCGCCGTCCGCGCCCTCCCCGGCGGGCCGAGGGGCGCGGCGCGGCCACCCACCTGCCGCCCGGGCCCCGCTCCGGCTCCGCGGCTCCCGCTGCGCTCCCGGCGCGGCCCCGGCGAGCGGCGGCTCCGGGGCACGGCGGCGTCACCGCGGGTCACGTGCCGGGGCGGGCCCGGGCGGGGGCGCGGCGGGGGCGGTGCCCGGGACCGCCCGGCCCCCGGCGAGCGGCGGCGGGGCCGGCCGGCCGGCCGGCCGTCCGTCCGTCCGTCCCCCGCCCGCCCCGCCGCGGGCCGCCGGAGCGCTCCGGTGCGGCTGCCGGAGCCGCGCCAGCAGCTCACAACTGAGCGGGCGTGGAACACCCAGGCCCTTCCGTCCCTGCCGAAACGAGCAGAGGGAAAACAAAAACCACGCACCTTCCTCGCTGCAAACAGGGGTCGGTCTGACTGTCTAACAGACGATACCCGAAGAAACCACATTTTTTAAATAGTTGCCCAAAGAGAAATAATAAGAAATAGTCCTTGACATTTATTTCCAGTTAACTCGCTTGGTATCTCGTACTATACTAAAGAAAGTTTTCAAACATTGTTTGAAAATATTTAGGTGGCCTTCATCGCGTTTTCAAATTGTAAGTAATCTTATCTTTCTCTTTGAAATGGCAGTATCTAGTTCTCTTGGTTGCAAAGATAACCTTGAAAGCATGAACTGACTGTAACTGATACTGTGGTATCTGAATGCATCTGCAAACAGCCTGAAACAATGGCATGGAGATGTGTAAACTCTCTGCACTCTATTAATCTAATGAAGGATAATGCTGGTCTAACTTCTGCTTTGACTATTTTAATGCACAGAAGGAGGAAGGAGACAGTAAAACCATCAAAAGGTGGAAAGAACAGGTTTGCTGAGGGAAGGACAAGCAATGGAAAAATGCCTGAGAAGTGCCAGTAGCAGAGAAAAACAGACTTTAACTGAAGAAAAGATGAAAACAGCATCTATAGGTTTAATTGAACACGTGCACATATTTTCATATGGAATTGCAATCCATCTTGAAATTTCAATATTGATAGTTCCTTGAAATCTCACGTGTATAATGCAACAAACATGCAAGATAAGTAGAAAACACTGCATATACCTTAAAGCTTCTTCTTCTCAAGCCTGAGTACTTGTGAGAATGTCCCCTTGACACCAAGGACCATTTGACTTCGGGCTGTCTGTTCACAAAACATAATTACTAAAATTCTGTTGGTGTTGTAAGACTGATAACACTGTCACACCCATTCATTCAGCAGTTATTCACAGGGTCTGGAAAAAACAGACTAGACACCAGCATTTCTCTTGTAAGGGAAAGAAAGAACATCTTGTATATAGATGTCCATTATTTATCCTTAAAAGGCAAAAGAAACATGTAAAAGGACAGTAGTTGCTTATCCATGTTCACTCTTTTGTGAATTACACATACATGAAAAAGATATAGAGTAATTCTTGGATGTTTCTGTCTAGTAGGATTCTATCTGTATGCCCAGTTTTGTGGTAAAAAATAATGTACTTGGAACACTTGGGTACTTCTGAACAAGCTGACTGCATTTTACTTGCTGACATGCCTGAGGTGTATATAAAAGCATCCCAAAAATCAGTTGTGGTAACCACATAGTAATTATCCTTCCTTACTGCCAAGGCTTCACTAGAGTGCTGCAGGATACAGCATTGGTGATTCAGTCTGAGGCACTCTTCCCTCTGAGTCAGGGTTGAACCAATGGTCCCACATAAGATCAACAAGCATAATAGAGCTGAAGGTGCCAGAAGATATGTAATTTTGAGTCCCTGCCCAAGTGCAGTCATGAAAGATTCCACATTACAAATAAACTGTCCAGCCCAAGTTCCAATTTTAGTAGCTGTTGCGTATTCTGCCTATGAAGGATTTCTCTGCCATTTAGAAAGAGCTAAAGTTCATCACCTTTACTCACCATGACTTGTTTTTCCTGGAGATGTAGGAATGCTGCCATACTCATACCTCAGATGGGACTACATATATATATTAGTTGGAAACATCCAGTACATGTACTGACCTCACAAATCCCAGACTGAAAGAACTGCCAACAATAATTGCTTTATGTAGTACATGCGAGCTATGATAGAGAGTACAGGACTCAATTCATGTATCTATTATGTTCTGACTGTTCTGTATCATACCTTGCACACAGCAACATCAGTCTCTCTCTTTGTAAACTGATTCCCTATGAAACATCAATGTTTGAAGTGTCTAGCTGTTCTATTACACCAAGCCTTCAAAGCCTTTGTCCAAATTTAACTGTGTTTGCCAAAAGGGAGTTCCCTTAAAGGTAGTTAAGCTCCCACAAGGTCTGTGGAAGCAGTCAGCCATATAGAGGTGGAGAAGAATCCACATAAGAAAGTGACATTATAAATGCTGCAATTGTGGAGGAAAAGAGGACAGTTACTATCTATGATGAAACACAAGTCCATCGAAAACAAGCTTCACAATTCTGAAAATCCAGTCTTGAAAAAATCAATTTCTGGTGTTTGAATTAGACATAGAAATGTTGCTTTCACTTCTCAGATTCAAAAGTTCTCAAGTACTAGTGTTAGATGTATAAAAAGCTGAGCCTATTAATTTTGAAGGTGAAATTGCCTTTTTTTTTTTTTTTTTTAGTTCTGAGTCTATATCAAATCTCTGCAAGTTCAGCTGTCCATTATTTTATGCCTCAGTCACAGTAATTCTAGATGTGTGTCATGTTTTAATTAATTAGAAATGCGTATCTGAGAGTGGCTGCTGCCATCCTGTTACTCATAGTACCAGAACTGGTGTTAGGTAACCAGCAGAAATGTGCTGCTGAAAACGTGATTGGTATTAAATCTGGGTTGTTTACTCATTGTTTGCCACCCCTCCTTACCAAACATAATCTCATTATGAACTGTGTTGATTCTTTCTTTCGGAAATGACCAAGAAGGCAAATACAAAAAGCTTTGTCACATCTAACAGGCAGATACTGCAAATATCCACCTTGCTCATTGTGCTGTTTCCTCAAGTTTTCACTCCTTTTTAGTGACCTTTTCTCTTTTTGGTCTTATAATCTTAGCAGTGATATGCTCTAGAGAAACCATTCTGAATTTAGCAAATGCACTTATTTCAGCAAATATTTTTTATATAACTAGAATATATTTTTATTTTACTTTTAATCCTACTTACAAATGTATTTTATACAATGGCTAAGCTTGCCTGATATAAAACATATTACCTGGGGCATCTCCTGTGTACTTTGCTCCTACTCTCAGTTTTTTGACAGCTTCCAGCCTCTCACCTCTATCTAAAAATACTCTTACCACCTACACGTAGACATACAATCAATTCCTTCTTTCTGTTCTTTCTCTGTACTACAAAAACACTTTTTCACAAAGTGCAGATGCTGTGGGCTTTTTGCATGAACTTGTCAATTTACTCCCTATCTCCTGACTCAACTAATAGATGAGCCATTTTTATTTATATAACTGTGCATTATAAGGAAAATCAATTGACGAGGGAACAACTAAAGTAAAGACTACAGAAAAAGGAACCCAGATTTCTCATGAGTTCAGTAAAGAACTTCCTTCACCATGACACTACAAAGGAATTTTCTGCCTTAAGGAGGAACTTTTATCCACAGTTCAGAGAAGATGATTTGTTGTACTGTGAAAAATCAGCAAGGAATTTGTAAATTTTTTACATTTTGCCAGAAGATTATTTTTGCAAATTGTATTAGGCAGAATGGACAGTGGCCAACAAATGGTTTTTCACTTTGCTGTTTGTTAGCCACATCACCATTGTGATGTGATCTTCAGGATTCACATCTCTCTCAGAGCGTCCAGTGGAAGCTGTTAACAAAAATTCAAACATACCTATTGTTTGTATTTGCAGTCTCAGTTTGCAACTGAAGGACATTTTTTTGCAGCTATCTGACTGTTAGCCTTACTAAAGAACAAAGTGAGATTTGTTTTGGTCGAACTGATCTTTTGATTCTGCTCTTGCCAAGAGCTGGTTCCCTATTCACCTGTATAGTTAAACTGTTTATTGTTTTCTCTTATCAATTCCAAACTGTATCACTTCTGTGTGGAGCACTAAAATATACCTCTGAGTCACAGCACAGAATTAAAAATTGAGAAAAGTAATGAATAATTTTCTGACTGAATAGCTAAAGCCTACAGTAGATGAAGGCGGACACTTCTTTGTGCTACCTTGACCTAAGACCTTTTCCTAAGCTAAATCTTAGTCGTCTTTGCACAGCTAGTCATGTCTTCATCTCACCATGGTTTGAGCTAACAGGCAATTTATCCTTTAAATAGTAATATCTATTTCGATAAACCTATAATAAAAAGTGCTCATATTCAAAGGCACAACATAAATGTCCATTTATACCTTTGAGAACTAAGGATAGCCCTGCATAATTGACTTTAAGTTTTATATATTTTGTATATTTTCTAATGAAAAAGAAGGGTTGTTTAGCAACAACTGATAAGCAGAATCTAAATAATACATAGCTTTACAAAAAGAATTAAATAAACCCTAGTGTGATAAATGTTTTACTCATGTTGAAGTTAATTTTATTATCCTGCACCAAGTTCAGTCTTAGAGAAGATTCACAGAGGAGTTTCT